CTCCTCCTCCTCCTCCTTCTCCTCCTCCTCCTCCTCCTCCTCCTCCTCCTCCAGTTTTTCGGCTCGCGAGGAGCTGCCGCCCCCCTTCGGGCGCCTGCGGGGTGCAGGCGAGGGGGATTCGGCTCCCGACGCGCGCTGAGACTAGCGCTCGCGCGACGGCGGCTCCCAGGGAGGCCGCCGCCCACCATCGAGCGCGACTTCGACGCAAGGGGGATCGCGCCCTCCTCCACGCCTGGGCGGGTCGCCTGTCTCCAGGCCTGGCGGCGAGGCTGCGCAGTGCGGCCCAGCGCCTGGACAGCCATCACGGCTCCTCAGCAGGGGCTATGGCGCCAGCGCCGGCCAAAGCGCAGGAGCAGCAGCCGCGGCAGAGGGTGCTACGAGGTTCGAAGAAGCCATACTGGAGCTGCTCCTGTGGCATGGACGGCAATTGGGCGTGCCGCATCGAGTGCACCTGTGGCAAGCATGCGCCCCAGCGCATCATCAACGCGGCCAAGAAGGCAGATGCTGCTGCACGAGCAGGTGATGCACCGTCAAAGCGAGCAGGAGGAAGCGGGCTCTCCGAGAAGCCCGCCCCTTGGTGCTCCAAGTTCAAGCTCATGGAAGCAGAGCTCGCGAAGTTGCGGAGTCTCGTCGGCAAGAGTGGCCCCACACCATGGACTCGGTCGGAAGGCGACCAGCACCAGGTCACGGAAGAGAAGAACGAGAAGGACCCCAGCTTCGCCAAGAGGACGGCCCTGCAGGAGAAGATCAACTATCACGAGCGCGCCCTCAAGGAAGCTGTCAAATATGAAGAGCAGGATGGTGCGGCACACGCGTACCACAAGGCAGAGATTGACAAGCTCAGGGAGCAGATCCGCGACCTGCGGCCCCCAGCAACGGCGCACAAGCTGGCGTCGCAGAAGCTGGAGCGCAGCAGAATGCAGCTCGACAAGCTCACGAAGGATCACGAGGAGATGCTGCTGCAGCTTCAACGACTGCAGGAGAAGATTTCGGAAAAGTCGTCATCGATCGAGGCGAAGAAAGTCGAGGTTGAGCAGTTCAAAGCGGAGGCAGAGCGTCATCAGCGGCAAGTGCAAGTTGCCCGAGGCGAAGCTTCCGATGAAGCTGGTCCGATCATCCCCGAGGATATCATGGCGCTCGACGTCAACCTCGCGGACTTCCAGGAGGATCCAGGACTGCTACAGTTCTATCAACAGTGCCGTGCTGACGCCAATTTCCAGAAGCTGCAAAAGCTGGTGCAGAGGAAGCTGGAGGTGTCCATCCCCAAGTCGCCTGCGTCAAGTAATGGGACGCAAGTTCCTGGTGGCCCTGATTCTGATGACGGCCTTGATGGGTCAAGTAGCGGAGGCGAAGGCAACACCAATGGCGAGAACGGCGAGTCCTCCAAGCGGGCCAACGGCATCCAGTGGACCACGGAGGACGTCGAAGCTCTTCATACCAAGCTATGCAAGGGAGAACAAGGCAACGACATCTCCATGGACCAGCTATCCGACATGGTGGCCGATATCCAGAAAACCAAGTTTCGGAAAACAGATGAAGTGTCCGCAGTACCAACAGGAGGGTGTACATCCTAGCACCCTGCCGAGAATAAGTGGGCTTCTCGTACGTCGTGGAAAGACATGTGCTGTCCCTGCGCCTGTATCCATGGTGAGCGAGCATTTGTTCGAGACCTTCAATGCCAGTCAAGGAAAGCGGACGCTTAAGCTTCGATTGGAGAGGACTCGTGCGCTGGTTGTTCTAGCGCAAGAAATAGGACACTATGACTGGGAATGCGAAGCACTCAGTACATGGGCTAGCTCCCGCAAGTGGCAGATGATGGTTATTCCTGGGAAGCCTACTGATGGACATCTCCCGTCAGGCGGATTAGCTATTTTCGCAAGGGAAGGCGTGGGGTTACGAGGCCCTGAGTATCCTGCATCTACGGCGGCTCGAAGACAAAGCGAGACGAATGAGCAGATTGCCTTCGGGTCTGAGCTGGTAGCCCATCGAGCGCAGCACGTGCTCGTGGAGTTGGAAGGATGGCCACCGCTCAACGTCTTCAACATTTACCTGCACACGGCCGAGGGCATGACGACGAGGAATGCCAGGATCCTCATGAACGTAGGGCTCGCTATGGCAGGACAACAGTACCCATGCGTGGTAGGAGGCGATTGGAATATGTCGATCGAGGAGGTTGAGGCATCGGGTTCCCCAGTGCATGCACAAGTCGGACTTGTCAGCCCAGGCCAGGTCACATGCAGGGGGCCGACCAGCGCAACAACTATTGAGTTCTTCGCCCTAAGTTCTGGAGCCATGAGGCTCATGAGGAAATGCCAGGTGGACAAGACATGGCATAAGAAACCGTACCGACCTGTCCAGCTATCGCTATGTGGCCAAGGAACGACAATGCAATACCTTACATACGTTGGAGGGACCAAGATTGCACCTGACATAGTTGTGGGCCCATTGTGGTACGACGCCGACTGGGAGTTCGAGCGGAGCTATGCTGCAGAAGCGTCCCGCCAAGCAGCGGTTGCCCCAGTAGCAGTGGCGTGGAAGGTACTATCACGAGCTTGGGGCTTCTGGGCGTGCAAGGCTGCATTAAGGCCTGGCCACATCACGGGCACGTTCATCAAGGCACCAGAGCACTTCAAGGGTATGATCCGACCCAAGTGGATATCTTATGCATATGAGGGACAAGACGCTGAAGGTATCCAGGCAGTCGCTGATGGATGGCAATGGTTTGCAGATGCAGTCAGAGGGATCGCTATGCTCAAGAACGGCAGAGGCCAAGAGCAAGAAAGGCAACTCGCTGATGAAACCCAAGGCTTCCTGGGGACCGATTATGTGGGCCAAAATGTTAATCATCGTCTAGACGCTTCTGTCACACGAGCAAGACGGTTGATTGGTCATGCCTCAACATCCAGCGAAGATCTACATGAATTTCTTGCTGAATGCGAAGAAGATATTGAGTATGCGAAGCAGCAGGCAGACCGAGATAGTGCTGCTCGCTGGAAGGACTGGTGCGATATTGCATGTGCGGGAGGCGCTGGGCGATTCCATCGTGCAACCAAGATCAACAGTGTGCAGGCGCCAACGGTAGTATGCAAGACCACCACAGACGGCATGAGCGGACACCCTCACCAGATTGTCTTGGACATGGAAGCCAAGCACCACAAACTCTGGCAGGCGACTGAGGAGGCACCGCGCGTCTGGGTACCTGATCGCAGCACCATGGATAGACCTAGTCCAGGCATGATCAGAGCAGCGTCGAAGGAGTTCACCACGAAGACCCCGAGCAGCCTGGACGGCATCCACCCGTCGCACTTTCAGCACCTGAGCGATGAGTCTCTGGAGGGCCTCTGCGACATCTTCCAGGCGGTGGAGGCGATCGGAGTTTTTCCCATTCAACTGACGTGGATGGTGATGCCGATGTTGCCCAAAGCTGCTGGAGGACACAGGTTGATCATTCTGTACTCGGCGGCTTACAGAGTATGGCAAAAGATGAGAAGACCTGGACTCGACATGATCCAGCAGAGATTGAAGCGCAATTACTGGGGAGCGGCATCGGGGAGAAGCGCAGTTGACAGTGCGTGGATCCTTGCAGCGGACAACGAGCAGAATGTATGTCAGAACAGGTTCGTGGTCACGATTGTCGCAGACTATAGCAAGTATTACGAGACGATCGGATTGGACCAGGCGCGCGACAAATTGATGCGCCTAGGCATGCCAGTCCCAATGGTCAAGGTGGTATACAATCAATGGAAGGGGCCAAGGATCATACGACTGCGACTCCACCACGGAGGAGCACCAAGGCATGCGAACGCAGGGCTTCCAGCAGGCGATGCGTATGCAGACGTGGTGATAAAGGCTCACGCCGTCGAACAGTACGACATGTACACGACCTTGCATCCGCTGGTGCGTTTCGCTTCCTACATTGATGACACAGCGCATGGCGTCAACAGCAGTTGCAAGCAGAGGGTGATTGACCAGGCGGTGGATGCTACAAAAGGCTTCTTCAAGGTTGCACGGGCACTAGGGGCCAGCATCAACGAGAAGCTTGCCATCATTGCGAGCACCAAAGCTATAAGTGATGAAGTCAGTCGCCGACTTCACCTTGATTTGAAGATCAGCTTGAAGAGTACGGCGTATCTGGGCACCGACGTTTCTGGAGGCAGGGCTCGGAATGTCAAAGGTACGCGCGGGAAGTTTCGGGCAAGACAGAATGCGCATGGCAGAAGGCTGAGGAAGCTACGGAAGTTCAAGAAGGTGCTCGCTGGCAAAAAGACGGAGAGAATTGGGAAGATCTACCGTGTTGGTGCGAGGCCTGCATACACTTTCGGGGTGGAGGTCAACGGGGTCAACGACGGGGAGCTACTGCAGTTAAGGCGGGAGTACAACAAGCACGTTAAGCCCAACCACGGCGGCACCTCCGCGAGCGCGAAGCTGGTGCTGCTAGGCGACCCCGCTGCCACCCAAGCACTGGCTCCTGCCCTCCAATGGTCAAGGATGGCATGGGCCGCCACAGCCAGGCCTGATACCGCAGCTGTTCCACTTGAATTGCTGGAAGCTTGGTGGAGAAGGGCAGTTACCGAACCTGGAGAAGTCAAGCAGTGGAGTAAAACACGTGGTCCCCTTCAGCGTGCAGCATTCTCAGTACAACGAGCTGGGTGGCAAACGCGTACAGGGTGCCTCTGGATCAACCATCGAGGCGATGAGGTGCATGTGGGGCAACTCACCCCTGGCCTTCTTGAAATGATGTTGAGGCAAGGCCTAGCAGTGCAGCATGAGAAGGCACTTGCGGAGAAGTGGGACATGCAGCCTTACACACGAGTCACCTTCGATATCCTTCGGCGACACGTCAAGTCCAGGAAGTTCAACAAATACCAGAAATTCTGTATCATGAACTGCGCATGTGATGGAGTATGGACACGTCATAAAGCGAAGGAGAAAGGATACCTAACGGACGGCAAGTGCGAGTGTGGGGACGAGGACACGCTGGTGCATAGGCTGGCGGAGTGCACTCGTCCAGAAGTCGTGGAAGCACGACATGAAGCTGGAATCCCCGAGTCGTTCCTTCAGGAGCTACGCCAAGCGCCAGATGATCGTGTCGTCACCCAAGGGGCTTTCGCATATCCTGAGTGGGAAATTCCTGAACTGCAACTAGGCACTGGCAGCGTGATTCTCGACGGTGATGGCAACGATTTCGATTGCACGCCCGAGACCATGGCTGCGACAGTGCTGGCTGAGACGGATTTGGAGATGGAGCTTTCTTTCGACGGGAGCTGCACGAAGCCAGATATCCTGGAGCTACAACGTGCTGGATGGGCTATCGCTTTAATGGATCCACATTCGGACAAAGTACTATGTACGATGCACGCACCAGTGCCAGCTTCGCTTCCGCAATCCTCGGCGATGGCAGAGTATTTAGCCTACGCGTACACAGGACAGGTGGCAGACCGACCTACCAACGGATACGCGGACTTCATGGGCACGGTCAGACTGGCGGCGCTCACGCACGAGCAGCAGTTACGGTCCAAGTCGGCATACGCGTGCGTGGCCATGTTTGCTCAGAGCCTTCCTGGATTCCATTTCCTCCGCAGTGTGACGCACGTGAAGGCACACCGTTCGGGAGCGGAGTATGCTGGCCTGGATGTGGCCACAAGGAGGATCACAGATGCCAATGTCTATGCGGACGTTCGAGCCAAAGCTGGTGCGGCGATGCACGCAACCATCAGCGAGGATTTTGCGATGGCTATCGACACGGCCACTGTGAGGATCAAACATTTCGCGCAGTTGGTAGCGGCCGTGCTACCCTTGTTTGATCGTGATGGGCAAGAGCGGTGGACAAGGCGAGCTGCCCAAGTCAAGAGGGTAAGGAGTACGCGCACCGATGGATGGCACCAGTGGGAGGAAGGAGGTTTCGGTCTTCAATGCAAGGCGTGCTTGAAGCTCAACAGCCCAGGGATGGAAGTTATGCTCAATGGCTGCGCTGGCACCCCTACCTTCCTCAAGGCTTTCCTCAACCAACCACTCGGACATCACCTCGTGGCGGTGAACCAGAAGGGTGACGGGCTCAGCGACGACGCGGTGCCCACGGTCTTTGCCTGCGTAGGCTGCGGTGCATGGGCGCAACAACGTCGACGGCAGAAACTCCGAAGGCAGTGCAAGCCACCAACCAGACAAGGCATAGAAGTTCTGACGAATCTACGGCGGGGCTTAGGCCCACACAAGACGCTGGCGAGGCACATGGACTTGACGATCCCCCTGTGCAAGCTCATGCCCATGACCCTGCCCCCGCTGGTCTCGAAGACCTGTGTCAGCCGACCTGTGGCGTTGGCGGAGGTCACGGGGTACGAGCACAAGATGGCAGCAATGATGGAAAGGATAAAGGCAAAGGAAAAGGCAAAGCGCGAGCAGGACGATGACAACAACACGATACTCGGACGCACGCGACATGGAGATCCTCAACAAGGGGGTAGTGCATGCAGGGGAACGGGGGCGCCCACTGAGTCCTTGGCGGCCAGCGCGCCTGAGGCACATCAGCGTCGCCAAGTCAATGGAATGCCCCCCGTGGTACAACAGCATGGCGATCACTTACCCGCAGCCGCTGAAGACGGAGTCGGTGATGATGACGGTGCACGCTGCAGCCAAGACGGAAAGGAGGCAGGAGCAGGGCCTCACCCGAGCAGCGAAGGTGGAAAGGAGGCAGGAGCAGGGCCTCAACCACATGACGGAGACGTCGGTCTCGCCAGGGACCGCGTCGGAAAGGGGGCAGGAGCAGGGCCCCAGCCGAGCGGTCGCGGCGGAAAGGAGGCAGGAGCAGGGCCTCAACCGCATGATGGAGGTGCGCAGCAGAGAGGACGAGCAAGGCAGCCAAGTCTCTGGGCACTTTTTCAGGCGGCATCGGGAAGACGAACTGAGAGCGGGCAGAAGGACCATGGGCCGAATCCCATGGGAAGGGCAAGCGGGGATCTCGAGAAGCAGGCGTTGAAGGCAATCATGGGCGCCCAGGCGCTCAGCGGCAACCACAGCGGGAAACATGCTGCTCGAGACCGCGCAGAGAACACGGGCAGCCTCCGAGGCCAGGAAGCGGCTGCGGTGGCAAGCACTACGAGGAGTTCTTCGAGAAGAAGAGCCGAGCCAATAGGCATGGCGGCGCCCAGCCAGGGGCAACGTGGTCGGAGAGCTGCGTCTGAGGGCGCACTCCAGGGAGCTAATGGCGTTACGAGGTGGGGTACTACGTGGAGTACAGCCTGCACAGCGCCTGTGGCCCTGGATGTGTCTCCCAGGGGCGGCGCGGAGGCGGCTGGGGTGATCCACCCTAGCCGCCTTTCCCCTGCGCGGCGAGGGGTTAGGCCGCAGCGGATGGCGGCAGCGCCCGACACGTTACAGGGCGTTGCCGATGCTACGACGAGGGGCGCTATGAGGAGTACTCCCTGCACAGAGCCTGTGGCCCTGGATGTGTCTCCCAGGGGCGGCGTGCGGGGTACTACGCGGAGTACGGCCTGCACAGCGCCTGTGGCCCTGGATGTTTCCCCCAGGGGCGGCGCGGAGACTGCTGGGGCGCTCTGCCCACACCGCATGTCCCCTGCGCGGCGAGGGGTTAGGCCGCGGTGGCGCATGGCAGCGCCCCACGAGTCACAGGGAGATGCTGGCGTCGCGACGCGGGGCACTACGCGGAGCACTCCCTGTGCAGCGCCAGTGGCCCTGGACGTGTCACCCAGGGGCGGCGCGGAGGCGGCTGGGGCGACCTGCCCTAGCCGCCATTCCCCTGCGCGGCGAGGGGTTAGGCCGCAGCGGATGTGGGCAGCACCTGTCGAGACGCAGGGAGCTGCTGACGCTCATACGAGGGGTACTACGTGGAGTACCTCCTGCACGGCGCCTGTGGCCCTGGAGGTGCCTCCCAGGGGCGGCGCGGAGGCGACCGGGGCGAGCCGCCCCAGCCGCACCACCCCCTGCGCGGCGAGGGGTTAGGCCGCAGCGGCTCTGGCAGCGCCCGACGAGTCGCAGGCGCTGAGTGCCGCGCTGAGCGCCCGCGGCCGCGGGCGCTCGTGCGCGGCGGCCCCCGAGGGGGCGACCCGCGTCCGCGGGCGTGTCATCATCATCCTCCTCCTCCTCCTCCTCCTCCTCCTCCTCCTCCTCCTCCCTCCCCTCCCTCCTCCCCCTCCTCCCTCCTCCCTCCTCCCTCCCCTCCTCCCTCCTCCCTCCTCCCTCCTCCCTCCTCCTCCTCCCTCCCTCCTCCTCCCTCCCTCCTCCTCCCTCCTCCATCCTCCTCCTCCTCCTCCTCCCCTCCTCCTCCTCCTCCTTCTCCTCCTCCTCCTCCTTCCTCCTCCTTCCTCCTCCTCCTCCTCCTCCTCCTCCCTCCTCCTCTCCTCCTCCTCCTCCTCCTCCTCCTCCACCTCCTCCTCCTCCTCCTCCCTCCTCCTCCTCCTCCTCCTCCTCCTCCTCCTCCCCCTCCTACTCCACCTCCTCCCTCCTCCTCCCTCCCTCCTCCTCCTCCTCCTCCTCCTCCTCCGCCTCCTCCTCCTCCTCCTCCTCCTCCTCCTCCTCCTCCTCTCCTCCTCCTCCTCCTCCTCCTCCTCCTCCTCCTCCTCCTCCCTCTCCCTTTCTACCTCCTCCAGAGAGGGTGAGGGAGAGAGAGAGAGAGAGAGAAGAAGAGAGGAGGAGGAGGAGGAGGCAGTCGATCTAAGATTGCCCAGCTTCGACGAGGTGGAGAGGAGGACGACGACGTCGTCGTCGTCGCCGACGACGAAGACGCAGACGACGACGACGACGACGACGACGACGACGACGACGACGACGACGACGACGACGACGACGAAGGGAGGGCTTGCACGTCCTGTGCCCTCGCGGCTCGCAAGAGCACCCCGCGGGCGTGCTCAAGACGATCGCGTCCGATCTCGAGCCAGCCCCCGCGGAGCGGCGGTCTGCCAGGGGTGCAGCGCACCTCCGCGGCCACGGTAAGACCGGGCGCCCGCTCCGCCTGGAAAGTTGCCGACTGGCGCGGCACGGCCGACGCCCTCCTGGTGGAGGGCTTGGGCCGAAGCTGCTACGGACGGGAAATCGGAGGTGGATAGACCTCCTACCCTGACACGTCGATTGAGGAATTGGCCGTTTTCGATTCGCGAGAGGGCGTCGCGCCCTTCATTTTTGCGGGTCCAGGTCCGTCGGTTTCGGTCCCAGGCCGTTTTCATTAAGGGGAGGTTGACTAAAGGGAGGTTTGTCCACCGCCGAGGAAAGCCACGGTAAGAACGAGCGCCAGTCTCCATGCGCGAGACACGGCCCGTGTCTTCTTGATGGAGGGTGTGGTCCGATGCGGCCACAGACAGGGAAGGGGGAGGAGGGGGAGGGAGCTGTGGCAGAGGCAGGAGCTCCTGCCGTTGCCGCACTGAGAGATACTTCAACGGAGCTTTCGCACTCCGAGCCTGAGACCCCTGTCGCCGTGGACCCCGTCGCTCGGTTCACAGGGCGCAGATTCGCAGGTACAACGTTGACGAGTCCACCACACTGCACCGGGCAAGTCTGCTCCTGCTCCGACGCGCCGCACGGTTTGTGCTCGTCCATGCTGGGGCCACGCGTCATCACCTGGCGCGCGTCACAAAAATTATCGCCAGGGTCCAGTACCCTCAAACATCGTTTTGTGAGCCCAGGTGGCTTCTAAGAGTGTTCGCGCGTCCTCCTGCTCCTGTTCCGCCTGCGCCTTCGGCGACGTCGTCGAGCTTTTCGTCATCGTAGTCGTCCTCCTATTCCGCATCCACGTCATTCCCCTTCTCGCCCTCGCCCTTCCCCCCTTTCACTACACCTCTTCCTCCTCCTCATTCCGTTCCTTCTCTCTTTCTTCCGCTCCTTCTCCTCCTCCTCCTCCTCGTCCTTGTCCTCGTCATCCTCCTCATCCTGATTCTCTTGGTCTTCCTCCCCCTGCTTCTCCTCTTTCTCTTCCTGCACCTCATGGTCTCACTCCTCCTCGTCCCCGGCCTCATTCGAATCCTCCTCATCCTCCTGGTGCGATTCCCTCTCGTCGGTGTCCTTCTCATCCTCTTCCTTCTCATCATCCTTCTCTCCCTCCTCATCGCACTCCTCCCTTCTTCTTTCTTCCTCCTGCTCCCCCCCTTCTCGCCGTGCTCGGCCTTGCATTCCTCTTACTCCTCGGCGGCAGCCCGAAAAAGGCAAGAATGCGAAAATCTTCGAAAAGCAAAAGGGGTTAACAATTGACGCCTCCTCGATCCTACTGGGGATCCGCTTGGAAGCCGCCCGGGGCCGTCTTGGCGGCTTCTTCGCCCGTCTCAAGGCCACCTTGAGCCATCTAAGATCCATCTGAGGCCTTCTGCGTGGCCTTGGTGGCTTGCCTGGGCCGTCGTGGACGCCTTGGGGAGCGCCGAGGAAGCGTCCCGGCTCCCAGAGTGATGTGGAAAGGGGGGGGGGCGGGGGGGGGGGCACGCAACTACTTTTAAGTCGGGCCTGCCCCTCTACAGGAGGAATATTCAGGAATAGTAGCAAAATAGTCTGGGGACGATGTTTCTAGGTAGTTTGGGGTATTTTTTGCATTTGGGGTATTTGGGGGTATGTATTACTTTCCGTCCAGAATCCGACTGTAGGGGGACACGCCCGAGCGAAAATTACTAGAAGCTAACAAGGAGGGGCCCGAGCAGACCACCGAACCCTACCAGGCAGCACTCGGCATTCCACCACGCCTCAACGTGCCAGCTGGCGCGGTGGCGAGTCGAGGGTGGAGAAGACGGAGAGAAGCGGAGGATGGTTACGGAGGAGCAGGGGGAGGATAATGATAGAGGGGGGGGGCCGAGACATGAGCTAGGAGGGGGCAGGAGGGCCAGAGGAAAGCCAGGACGGTGCAACGATGCTGCAAGCCATCCGCCCATCCCAAGCGCCCTCATTTGGCCATACAGGCATTCTGCCCCAGTGTGGGAGGCGCCCCCCTCTGAAGACGATCGCCCGATGGGCCCCGCAGTTCTGGCATGATCTCCGTTCTGCAGGAAGCCGGCAGTCATCATTGAATCGCTTCGCTCATCCCGCCGGCCCATATTGCATCACTGGTGTTACATGTTTGTGTGATCGTTGCGAGCGAGACGGAGCAGGAGGAGAAGGAGGAGGAGGGGGAGGGGGAGGAGGAGGAGGAGGAGGAGGAGGAGGAGGAGGAGGAGGAGGAGGAGGAGGAGGAGGAGGAGGAGGATTATTCTCGAGCCATACGGAATGCGACAAGCTGGGGCACCATGCCAATACCCAGCCAAGCCCCGCCACAGCCAATGCCCCGCAAAGGCCGAGCCAATGCCACGCCACAGCCTTTTTTTGTAAGCAAAATACAATTACTAAAACAATACTATATGTATATATATATACATATATATATATATATGTATATACATGTCTGTATATATATATATATATATATAACTGGCCTGCCTCCGTGTAGCTGTCGCCCCATTTCGAACTCTTGCCAGTCGAATGATGGATGCAGAACCTCAGGCGAGAGCCCCAGTTTGAAACAGAATCGCCTCCAACCGTGCAGCTGTTCCACATTGTTTACGTTCGGGGTGATATCGAAGACGCCTACTGCGAATCGCCACTGCCTCCCGCAGGTTTTGGACGCGCCTCTGTGGCCAATCATGTGGCGAGAGCTTGGCCAAACTATCGGGCTATGCATTCCCCGAGCCGCTCTGGAAGTTCTTAGGGGAACGCTTGGGGTAGGATGAGGGCGGGAATCAGGAGAGGTAGGAGGAAGTGGGGGAGGAGGAGGAGGAGGAGGAGGAGGAGGAGGAGGAGGAGGAGGAGGAGGAAGACGAGGAGGAGGAGGAGGAGGAGGAGGAGGAGCCTTCTTGGGAGTCTCGTGGGGCAGTCTTGGAGCCCTCAGGGA